GAAAGCACCTCTAATTCTTCACAACAGATTTAATTCCACAAAGTAATGTCATTAATGATGGATGTTCGCAATTCAAGCAGAATGATAACAATGTGACAGGCTTTGACTTGTTTGCTGTTTTCCAACATGAGAGTCAAGTTCTGAACTGACACAACAGTGCAACACCCATCTGTGACTCAACATACATCAGACCGTCACCAAAGAAATGTGATTTTGTATTACTTCAAACTATTACCCTGAAGATACAGTATTGGGTTGACTTTAAAACCATTAGATTACCAAAAAAAGGAGAGGGGACAGAATGGGTCATAGTTACAGGTACAGTCATAATAAGATAGAAAATATTAGACTTAATACACTTTCTTTCACTAAAAAATGGACCTGATTTCAAGACATTAGATCTATACATAAAGTTGTGTGCATACTGTATGTATAGATCTAGTCTTAAAATCAAGTGCAATCAAAGTTTGCCGGTTCTAATCCACCTAACCATCCATCCATCATCTTTACCACTTCTTCAGTTTTTGGGCCGCTGGGGTCACTGGTGCCCATGTCCAGTCATCACTGTGCGAGAGGTGGGGGACACCCTGGACAGGTCTCCAGTCCATCACAGGGACACATAGAGACGTTCTAGAATTGCGCCGCTCAAGGTGGCTGCATGTTGGAGCAGCTCTGTTACTTTCATTCTGAGATTTTGCTTTTGGAAACATTAATTCCTGTTTTTCTGGATGTAAATCACAGTTTTTGGATGATTGTTTCCTCTGGTATCAGATGCTGTGCAGCTGGAAGGACTTTTACTGAGGCTTTTTTAGTTTTGGACATTTGAAATGATGCGTAACCATGGCAACAAGGCAGTTTTCTACAACCAACAGCAGCTGATTAACATTTCAAAAGTTCAAATAATATCTCAACTACAGCCCCAAATCTCAAATGAGGTGAAAAGGATGTTCTGTGGATGCATTCTCATCTACCCGCCAGCTGTGCTCGAGTGCCTGACCACTGAGATCCTGGAACTAGCAGGAAACATGGCTCATGACAGCGGAAGGACAGGATCGTCCCCCGGCACCTACAGTTGGCTGTCCGCAGCAACGAGGAGCTCGGCAGACTGCTGGGAGGAGTGGCGCCCGGCATTCAGGCGGTCCTACAGCCCGGGGGAACCGAGAGTCCAGCAGAGTCTGGTTGGACGGATCAGACAGCATCTGCAGCCACTTTCTTAGGATCCACTGTGGGATGGACCTTTACAAGAGATCCTTCCTGTCTACACTAAGCCATCAGCATCTATAACATCTCTCAATGAAATGAGGATAACGAGTTACAACAACAAATAATTTCCCTTTGGGATTAATAAAGTATTTTTGAATTGAATTGAATTGAGACAAACGAGACAAACAACCATTCACTCTCTCACTCACACCTAGGGACAATTAAGAGTTAGCAATCAGCCTAACATGCATGTTTTTGGGAGGAAACTGGCGTACCCGGAGAAAACCCACACATGCACAGAGAAAAAAAGCAACCTCCACCCAGAAAGGTCCTGTGTCAGGATTTGAACCAACGACCTTCTCGCTGAAAGGCAACAGCTCGACCAACTGAGCCACCATGCCACCTATCCACCTAACCATAACATCAAAATGTGGGTGGGAAAGATGAAGCACCCACACCTGTCTCCACCCTCACTTGAGCAAGGCCTTTAACCCCCACCATCTGCTCCACCAGGTGCTCTAGATGGCAGCTCTCTGCTCCACACAGAGGGTAGCTCAGTCATTTGTATTTACGTCAGTAAAAACATCTGGCATAAAACTAGCATCAAATCCTCATGCAAGTTTGCTCGCTGTGGAAACCCCTAATGAATGGAGAAGAAAAAATATCTAGATATAGTTATAACACTCAACCAGTTTCTAATGGGTGAGTCTTATCATTTCTTTAACCTCTGTCCAGCTGCAGGTGTTTCCAGTTTCTCAAATCTTACAGCCTCCTAAACCAAACAAAAAGGTAAAAGACCTCAAATGCTGAAAAGTGTTTCTAAAAATCTGATTACCATATATAAATCAGTATACAGGTAAACAACAGGCAGTAGTTCAAGTCTGTGTGTTTAGACAACACCTGAACTAAACTTCTAATTTAAATTAGCTGGTTCACTTTCAGTGTCCTGTACCCAGGGAATAACAATCATAATAATAATAATAATAATAATAACAATAATTGTTATTTACAAAACTATAACTTGCATAAGCGCCACAGCTATCAGACGAGCCAAATCAAACCATTTTTTTATTTGGATAAGAAAAAAGAAAATGTTACTTTTATCACCAGGCTGACTGCTTGCAAAAGAAACGACGCAGTAAAAAAAATGCCACATCTATATTTACCACAATAATATTAAATTAGTCAGAGTATTAGATGCTTTTAAAAGATCTGTTTATGGAGTTTGTTCAAACAAACACAAGCCAAAAATGCACATGGGGACAGAAAAGTAACAAATTCTTAATCAACTATGGTCAATTCTGTTAATGTCAGAAAACATTTTCCCCTCCAGGCAGTCTAATGAATTACAATCAATTAACAAGAATGTAAAACAAAAACGTTCGCATTTTACCTCAATTAAAAAGAACAGCAGGAATATACCTTTTCTTGTTCAGCTTGTTAAGTATAAGCAGCTGAAACTCAGTATTTAAAATGTTTCAACTCCCAGTAAAGGTTGTTTAAATTATGCAAATATGACCATTCTTATCTGGTTTAAATATCACTGATTATAACTTCATTTGTCACAGTTAGATCATGCAACTTGACGGGCAAGAGATCCCAAAGTAAATGCTTGGGCAACTTTAATGTTTCACAGGCACCACAGGGCCCAAAAGAAGCCTAAAAATCACTCCCTGTGGTCAAAAAAATATCGGGTCAAAGGTCAAGCAGCTGCACCAACGTCAAACACTGCCTTGATGATCTAAACTGAACAAAGTATTTAAAACAGATCCAAAAGGAACCTATCCACATAAACGCAGCAGTTTCTCTGCAGCCACAGCTAACTGGGGCCGGAGCCAGCGGTGCTCTGGAAGATCATTTTGGCTCTGCACATGGTTAAGCAGTGGACTGTCGTGCCCCAAATTACAGTAATCCTGAAAACAGTCGCATAGATGTGATCACACTCTCACAAGCAAGTTCTCATTTAGTGTAAAAAAAAAAAATACGTACGATGGGTAACAACAGAGAAGTGCATCCATCAGTGTTTAACATAAATAGAATAGATATATTTATGTTGGCAGAAAAAAAAATCTGCAGCTTATTTCTCAACAGCATTGCCAGAACCTGCTCCTGCAGTGAGCCAACACCAAGCAAAATAAAATTTAAAAAATACAAATCTACTGACTCGTTTGCATCTTAATTCAATTCAGTTTATTTATATAGTGCTAAGTCACAGTAGAGGTCATCTCAGGGCACTGAGCAGAAACATTCATATACTGGTACATAAAAAGTAAGTTATCATTATCTGAGGAGCAGACTGCTTTGAATTTAACTTCATCGCAGACTCTCACCTTGAGCGAGCATGAAGGCGACAGTGGAAAGGAAAAACTCCCTCATGAGGAAGAAACCTTTAACAGAACCAGGCTCAGGACAAGCTGCTATCTCAGGGCTATTCAACAAAACAGCTCGGGGGCCAGACTTTAAAATCATAAACCTGCATTTACAATGACCTGTTACCTTTTTTATTTATTTTATTGCTTTGAATCATAAATGCAATAAACAGAACTCAATCCCCGAACCAAAAAATTTTTTTTTTTTTTTTTAATGAAGTGGCCTGCAAGCTGCCAGTTGGATAGCCCTGGACTATCTGCTTCAACCAGCTGAGTTTGATTAGAACAGGAAGGAGGAACAGATACACAATGGCAGGTCAAGAATCACATGTTAAGACAGAAATAGTATCAAATGAAAACTATTCAAGTTTAACAATTCATTTAAGAAAATGAGGTCAATTTGTCTAGTAGTCTAAACCAGCATAACAAGCCAACCCTAACTATAGGATTTATCAAAAAGTAAAGTCTTAATCCCAGTGTTAAAACTGGACAATGTGTCAGCCTCACGGACAGAAACTGGAAGTTGGTTCCACAAGAGAGGAGCCCGATAACTGAAATATCTTCCTCCCATTCTGCTCTTGGAAACTCTAGGAATCCCAAGTAAGCCTGCAGTCTGAGAGCGATGTGCTCTGTTGGGAAAATACGGAACAATAAGAGCTCTAATATACGATGGAGCTAGGTTGTTGAGGGCTTTGTAGGTTTCAAGTAAGATTTTTGAATGCAATTCTGAATTTTGGCAGCTCAACCTTTTGAATCGCATGGTTTGCGATGCAGTTCTGCGAGTAGCTGCAGTATTTTTTATGTTTCGTTCAGCGTCTGGAGGCTGAGGGGACAGGAACACTGAGTCTCATTGTCAGATGAGATCAATGAGCCATCTATGCACACACATAAACAACTCCGTCTCCAAGGCCGTGATGGTCTTCCCACAGCCAAAGCACCCACATTTAGGCCTGAAAATGTGAAGTTATATGAATATCGTGACTATTATAACCAAACAAGAGCAGGATCCACTTACATAACCACCATGGCTCTTCTTTGTTTACAGCAGCTTAGAAAAAAAAAAAAAATGGCCAGATTGAACTACTGGTGACAATAAAGCCAATGATAAGCCCACAGACAAAGCTTTGCATTAATTAGAAACCGTACACGTAAACCACATCTTTCACACTTTAAATGGGGCACATAAACAAGCTAAACTTTTAATACTTTTCACGTAGTTCAAGCCTCGGTACAGTTGCTGGATGTAGCGGCCAGGAGGAGCTCTCCCCGCCGGACTGTAGGTGATTGTTCCCGGCTGCTCCTCTCCTGGAAGGGCCGCTCCACTGCCTCCCCTCCGACGTTTTAAATAAGACTCTCTTGGAGACGATATGCACAAAAGAGTCCTAAAAAAGGTTCACTGTAAGCCCAAGCTTTATAAAGTGCACTTACCTCGACGCGGAACGATGTGCAGCCCCTGAGGAACTCCTTTATGTTGCTCAGACACTCGCCGTCATTCTTCGGTTCAGGGTAAACCTGGAAAGACGGAAATTGGCGATAAAACACCGCTCCACGGATTATTCACGTCCCAATCTGCGGCTGTTTGTAAATCTGCTGCCTTTAGACTGTATCTTCCTCATCGACGCGCATTCTAACCGTGCGTGTGCGCGCTGGGCCTGACACACACGGCAGGAGGCTGGAGGAGGCTGTGGACGTGAGGAAATGACGTGGAACAGAGGAAGCCACACATGATGCTGCTGTAATGATTAACCACCTCCAACTATTTAGATAACACAGTAGTAAATCATTTGTACTGCTCAAAATATTAAACTGATCCAATCAAAGCTTTAAAAACACTGATTTAAAACTTTACACATTTTATTCCACAACTGTGAGGTCTCATGTATGGAGTGCCATTTGTGCCAAAAGTTTGGTACGTGTTCAACTTGTTGTCAGTTTTATTGTCATTCACACACAGGCGTCGCAACATTATATGTGAAGGTGATGTGTCCCCCCCAATATTGAAAAAAATGTTCATTTGGACCCCCCCCCCCCCCCCCCCCCCCCCCCC